AGGTTTTTGAGATGGAGTCATCCACTCGAAGAATCTAAGAACATAAGATGGTAGAATAACCATCAATATCATATATCAAAAAATAATTTAAAATAAATAAATTATTCTAGAATTAGGAACATAAGATTATCCATACAAATGGAATTGGTCAAAAGACTCAAAATGATGACTTTAACTAAACTCTTTAACCACTCTAACAATCCAATTATCCATCATCAATCCTCTATTCGGTCGGACTTCATAGATACTATCTTTTTCCAAATTCAATTTAAACCTTTAAAAAATCAATCTTCAATTGAATCATCAATGACATTGTAATTCACTCACTACTCATTCTATTTATCTTTAATTGTATTTATATAACTTAATTCTTCATTTCCCCTAGATTCTTGTTAATTCAAAATCAAATTTCAGATTTTTCATTATTCATTACCTTTAACCTCTCAATTATTCAAATTTACTCAATTTTGCTTTAAAATAACTGCATAGACCACTTATCCAAGATAATTAAACATCATTTAATCAATTAGAATCACTTAATCAATTTTTTTCTCAAATGGCTCTCAAAAACCCTAACCTTAATCTAATCAATTCTTCATTCAACAATAACCTAATGTAATTCAACTTCAATATCGTTATTAACTACATGTAAATATTACAATTTAAAGATTAAATGATAAAAAAAATCTTACCTTCAACACTTTGCTCTTCAATCTCCAATTCAATCCTAACTCTCCAAGCTTTCTAGTCTTTAATTTAGCTAAACTCCTCTTAAATCTACTTGCTTATGGCTTTTCTAAGCTAATTTAACCAAGAATTAACTTAGGATTTAAAGGTCGAAGATGAGGGAAAATTTAGAGAGAAAATGTGTGAGAAGGAAAGGAGAGAAAGAAAGAAGAATATAGGGGGACAACTCGTTATGCCTTGTTATACCTAATGAATTTTTTTTATTTAACTTAAATATTGTTCTTAGGTTGGGTTATTATATTTGGTCATTTCATAACTAACTAGAGGCATTTTATTCACTCGTATACCAACCTCCTCAATACCCATAAACATTTTTTTCTCTTTCTCGATCGACTAAAATAATCTATCTTTATTAAGATTGAAGGAAGTAAAACCGATCCAAAGAAAAGACTTCTAACATTTTCATGATGTTTGGGCAATTTCTAAACTTATTTAAATTATTTAAAATGATGAATGAATAGTAGAAAAAGCGTGTTATGAGTGATTGCACCGTCAAATGCTCTATATGACTATGCTTGAGATTTACGTGTCTATGGCTTGTTTATCGAAACGAAGCTATTGGTGGCTTCTCACTTATATGGATGAAGTTGTATGTAGCTTTCAAATCATCTTACCTAGCTTTTTGCTTGTTAAAAATGAAGTTGTTTGTGGCTTTCCATTAGTATAGGTGCCCAAGATCTAGCTATATCTCGGATAGGTTTGAGTTATTTTATTATTATATCATTTATTTTATTAATAATAAAGAAGTTTTCTATTAATTCTTATGTCATATATTTATTTATTGAATAGAATTAGATAAAAGTCCATATGATATGTATTTGCAATAGTAATGGATCGAAAGATGTGAGATAAACATTAATGCATATAAATAATATCATTAAATGTCCTAAGTCACGAGCATTGTCAAGAATAGACATTGACTATATATGGATAGACTTGTGAGTGCTATATTATGCTCACACCTATTGATATGATGATGCCAACACAAGTGCTTAGGTGATTAATGTTAGAGAATATATCACTGGACTTGACTCGGTATAAGAACCCATTTGGTTTAGTCTATGGGAATCTCAAACGAGATTGGTATAACTAATCCTTAGATTTGAAGTAATCACGAGTCATCACAATTATCTCAATAGAGGATTTGTATACTTTGACACTCATTTTGATAGACTCGGTAAAGGGTTATACGTGGATAATTCGTTAGGTGCATTAGGAATCCGAGATAGGTGGATGACTAAGATAGGACTTATCATTCTTTATATGCTAAAGGAGTTATCATATCGCATTTCGATGACTCGTCTACTCGGGAAATCTATGACCATAGTAGGATTACACCAATAGAGCATAGTTGGTTTACTCTAAAAGCTAAGACATTTGGAAATCAAAGAAAACTTGTGTGGTCATAATCGAATAAGACTAATAACCATGTTCGATATCACACTATGATAAGTTGACATTAGGATTAAATTATCCGGTAACCATACTCGTAAAAGGTAATTACTAATTAATTAATCCTCCTAGAGAATTGGATAGTCATGATGCCTTGTCGAGGCCAATCTTGACTTATGTGTCAAGAGATCAAAGAGCTAACTTTTATTCTTTATTATTGTCAAAATATCTAGGAGCCTATTGAGTCACACACATAGGTTTAAGCATTCACATGATTAAAGAGAAGTAAAGATGTTGAAAAAAGTTTTCAATTTTGAAATTTTCCTATTTTGAAAAAAGGTTTTTGAAAATGAAAAGTTTCCTAAAATGGAAGTTTCTTAAAATGGAATGTTTTCTATTTTAGAAATCGGTTTCCTAATTTGAAAATTAGTTCGAATTTGAAGGTAAATAACTTAAAATGAAAATTAGTTTTCTAATTTAGATTTAAGGGTAATTTAGAAAATTATTTCATAATGTGGGCCACTTAAAAGTATCTAACTTAATTTATTTAGATAGTCCAAATTAATTAATTGGACCAAAATAATTTTAGGCCAATAGGTTTAATTAAAAGCCTGAAAGATATTTTGGTGGGAAGATAAACATAAACCTTATTGGATAAGGATAAATATTATAAAGATAAGATCAAAAGAGCATGCATCCAAAATAACTCCTAATCCTTTAAGGATTAGAAGTTACATGTAAAATAACTCCTAATCCTTGTAGGATTAGGAAGTAACAACCAAAAATCCAATTAGGACTAGTTGTCACTCCTCCTTGTACTTGGAGGACAAGGAAGCCTCTCCCCTATCTACATAGGGGAGAGGTGCGACAAACATAAGTTTTTTAAGAGAGAGAAAATTTGGCACAAAGGAAAAACAAAAGGGTACTTAACATCAAGTCAAAACATAGAGGAATAGTTTTCTCCTCAAAACCCTAGCACACGCTTTCTCTCTCTCTCTCTCTTTAGATTGTCACAAAATTACCCCGATTAGATTTCTATAGGAAACACTAAACAAGTTAGAAAAGATGGAGCTAACACTTTACCAATTTTAAGTGCTTCTTTTATGTGTGAAGTAAAGATGAAATGTGGTGTTAATAGGGGTTTCAAGTGGTTTTGGTAGTTATGGAGGAGGCTAGCATGGCTATGGCAATTGGGTTTTTGGTGGAGGACTGTAGTGATTGGGTCGGTGTTTCACGAGTTGGATGTGGTTGTTGATCGGTGACAAGGAAAGAGAGGGCGGTAGAAGTTACGACCACTAGGATTTTTTAGTGGGGAGATGAATGGTGGCGACTAGGTTTTTTTGTAGGGAGATGAATAAGAGGATTCATATTATAGATAATGACGTAAAAAGTAAACCTATGCTTAATTAATAAGTGGGCAAAGATTCACTCATAAAATGAGATTCATACACGTTAGAAAGTTAGTTTAGAGAGACTCATTTAGTTTGAAAGTTTTAAATTCAAATATAGCTATTAGCTTTATGTATTAGGTCCGATTTATTGTATTTATGAAGCCTTGCTTATGAAAATATTTTAAATTTTGATCATATATAGGTGTGTTAAAACATGGTTTTTAATCGAAAATATGATCAATCATTTTGTACCAAAAAATAAAATAAAACCCATAATAGTTAAAACTTTCACTAGATGAATAAAAATACACACAAAAAAAAATATCCGATAATTTTCCTCCAAAAATAAATCAAAAAGCAAAAAAAAAATTGGTCATAATGGTAGGCAAATTATAAAAGATTCTAAAAGATGTGGGGTGAGACTTGTTCATCATTTGCTCGACCTCTATACAAAACACTATGGATGAAACGGTTGCTTTCAATTTTTTTAATTATTCTCTCCTTTAAAGCCGAACTCTCTTTTTGCTTTTCTTTTGCTTCTATTGTAACCAATAGAAGCCCACCCAAATAGGATGAAAAAAAAAAAAAAAAAAAAGGGAAATTAAGAAAGAAAAAAAATGACTAGTAAGAAAACCAAAACATCTATAGTTGGACAGAGCTGTAAAGCCCAATCTAAGAACTTGCAGGCATCTCCTAATTAGTATAATTCAACAACTCAATGAAGGAAAATCAGAGCTTTTTATAGAATTTTGGGTTTTCTCAAAAACACTACTACCGAAAAACAAGAACTCCAGAGTATGCCCAGCCACAGCAACCAGGAACACACCACCATTGAAAGACATGACAGCCAACTTGACCATATTGGCTAAATAACTCGCAAAGCATGCAATAAACCCTAGAGTAGACCAGCTACCATATCGTTCGAGTTAGGCTTGATCAATTGGCAATGGTATAACCACTCAACAAGAATGGAAATCACAAAAACAAGTAACAAAGCCACAAGATGGTCTCTCATCAGAACTTCCAGGCTAGCCAGAGAAAGAATTTCAACACTTTTCCTTAAAAAGAAGTCAATTTCAGCGACAAAAGAAGGTCATGTTGGTGTTTCTTTATGTTTGGTTTGGATTTGGAAATTTTGAGATCTGGATACAATTTGTAAGTGATATATTGATGGTATTTTATTTAGCTTCTAAGGGATGGAAAAATTATTATATCTTGAGTTTGGTTTGGATATCCTAAAGGCAATAACTAGATCTATGAAATGGTTATAAAAGTCTGTTCTGTTTTCACGTGGATCCAAAGAAAAAAATATATAAATTTTAGTCTTTTAAGATCCCAGAAAAAAAAATTGAATGTGACTAGAAGGGAAGAGAATCTCCAAAAAAAATATTAAAAAATAACTTTAAAGTTTGATGGAGATGGATGAGAGACAAGAAAGATCAAGAGACCATTTTTCGGCACCATAAAACAATGGAGCCAAAACTGCTCATCCACGTTCCGTTTCACATGCCAACTTGATTCCAACCATTACAAAATTGAGTCTCTAACGTATGAAATAAAAAAAACAAAACAAAACAAAAACAAAAACTATACAAGTGAATCACTTTTTTATATTTAATAGAGCGAAAATTGTAATAAACTTATTCTTTACGATTGTATGATATTTTTATTTTTTATTCTATGATAAAATATATATTTAGATCAGCTAATCAATTAAAATTAAAAAAATTTTTCAGGCGATGTTAAAATTATTATAACTATTACTATATAACTAAAATAGATGGAGGTTTGAACAGTAAAAATTACTATTCAACCCCTCATAAATTATTATTAATTCTTGTAGTTGGGTTTTTTTTTCAAATTGTTTCACTATATATGTCCTTTTTTTTCTTTTTCTTTTTTCATCAATTTATGTTCTTTTTTTATTTTTATTTTTCAAGTTGTTTCATTTAGGTCTCTATAATTTTAAAATAAAAATTTTAATCCTCTAACTCATGTATTACATATGCCTTTTCTTTGTTTTTTTCCTTTGATTTTTTTTTATCAATTTATGTTCTTTTTTTATTTAATTAGGTGTTAAAATTTTAAAAAACCAATCGTTACTTTTTTCACACAAATTGAAAATTATACAATATATATGATACTTTTACATTTATATGATTTTTTTTTTTACATTTTAGAATAAATATAAACTACTCTTATTGTTTAAAATTGTTTTTCGATAAAAATTTTCATCAAGTTAATTTTTATTTTTATTTTTTATAATTTATTTATTAATAAATATGACTTATTTTCTCTATGTATGAATTCGAATAAGTTTATATATATATATATGTTTTTATTTGCTTAATTCTTATATAATCAAATTTTAAAAATTAAATATATGTATTTTATTTTCTTATTTTTTATATAATCAAATTTTATCAAAATCAATTTTATGATTTTTATTGCACTATTTTAACATCAATACATATTTTATCATTTAATTTTTTTCAAATATTTTTAATTTATTTTATACATTCTCACCTATTGAGTACGGTTATGATGTATAGAAAATAATAACATTAGAATCATTGATTTTGTTAGAAATCAACTATGCATCCACACACATAATACCAACTATTTGCTATTATTTTTTTAATATTTAAAATGATTTTTTTCAAATAAGATGATTGAAATAATATTTTAGAAAAACCACCTAATAATTCAAATATAACTTTTTTTATTGATATTATTTATTATTTTGTATATATATATATATATATATATATCTTCTCATCACTAAAAAAGTTTCATTTGTTAATTTTCATACAATTTTTTATATTAATTGTTGCTTTATTTCTTTGATGCAATGTAATGGAAAAAAAATATTAAGATGTTTTCTTTTTAAAAAAAATTTATACTAAAATTTGTTTATCATGGGTTTTTATTTGAGAATAAATACATAAGAAAGAACAATTTTTTTTTTCTCAAGATGTTTCACTATACATGCTTTCTTTCCTTTGCTTTTTTTAATCAATTTAGGTTCTTTTTTTAATTTAATTTTTCAAAATTTTCAGGTTGTTTCATTTTGGTCTCTAAAATTTTAAAATAAAAATTTCCATCCCCATGTATTACACATGCCTTTTCTTTTCTTTTTTCCTTTGCTTCTTTCCATTAATTTATGTTCTTTTTTATTTAATTAGGTGCTAAAATTTTAAAAAATCAATCGTTATTTTTTTTCACATAAACTGACAATTATATAATATATACGATATTTTTTATATTTATACAATATGTTTTTATATTTTAGAATAAATATAAACTACTCTTATTGTTTAAAATTGCTTTTTTCGATAAAAATTCTCATCAAGTTAATTTTTATTCTTTATTTTTTATAATTTTATTTATTAATAAATATAACTTTTTTCCTCCATGTATGGATTCAAATAAGTTTTTTTTATACCTATTTTTATTTGCTTAGTTCTTATATAATCAAATTTTAAAAATTGAATATATGTATTTTATTTTCTTATTTTTTATATAATAAAATTTTATCGAAATCAGTTTTATAGTTTTTACTACACTATATTAACTTCAATATATATTTTACCATTTAATTTTTTAAAAAATATTTTTTCAATTTATTTTATATATTCTCACCTATGGAGTATGGTCATAATGTATAAAAAATAATAAAATTAGGGTCACCGATTTTATTAGAAATCAATTATGCATCTACACACACAATACCAACTATTTACTATTATTTTCTAATATTTAAAATAATTTTTTAAATAAAATAATATTTAGAATAACCGCCTAATAACTCAAATACAATTTTGTATACTAATATTTTTTAATTATTTTTTAAATAAATATATATAAATCAAATGTGTATATTTTAAAAAATAATCTTCTTATCGATAAAAAAGTTTCATTTGTTAATTTTTATACAATTTTTTATATTAATTGTTATTTTATTTCTTTGATACAATGTAATGAAAAAAAAATATTAAGATTTTTTTAAAAAAATTATATTAAAATTTTTTTATTATGGGTTTTATTTTAGAATAAATGCATAAGAGCAAATCATATTTTTTTACTTCAAAATTTATTCAAAACATAAAAATATATATAGATACAAAATTTTGATTAAAAATTATAAAATTGGATGAAATTTTATCTTTTATATTTAATTTAATATATTTTAATTAACCGATAACACAATATACGTTATCAAACTGAAATAAATATGTTTAATTCGGTACGTAACGTAGTGTTAGAATCCGAACTCGTTCATATGTCTAAAATTCTTATTCGCTTACTCGTTCATGTGCATAAAATTACTATACATTTGATGGTAATTTAAGTAATTTTTATGTGTGATTTTTTTGTGTGTTTTTGGGCATTGATATGCAAATTTAACACTTTTTTCTATTTTTTGTCCCTCATGTTCTAACATTTTTTTTCAATCCTTAGTGTGTGTGTGTGTGTGTGTGTGTTATCTTTTTTATATTTTAAAATCAACATATACTTCAGCTTATATTACTTTTATCATTTAAATTTCATTCTTTGAATTTATTATTTTTTATGAAAATTCTCATCTAATTAATATCTTTTATATAAGATTTTATTTATTGATAAATATAATTTATTTTTCTCTATGTTTAAATTTTAGAACAAAATTAAAATGTGATTGTTTTTTCTTTTTTAAAAAATAGATTGATATAATGTATATCGTGAATTTTTAGAATTTTTAAATAATATTTGCATATATATATATATATATATATATATATATATATATATATATTATTCTAAAAGATTAAAAGTATATTTCAAATAATTTTTCTGAGCTCACCTAGTATGGTTAAAACGTATTAAAAAAACTATTGAATCATTGATTTTATTAAAAATTAACTATGCATCTTCTAACATAATACAAATTATTTACTATGAATAATTTTTAACATTATAAAACCAAATTATTTGAAATAAAATAATTAAAATATTTTTTTAAGGAAACCAACCAATTATCAAATATAATTTTTATGCTAATTTTATTGGTTATTTTGTAAATAAATATATAGAGATCTAATGCATATACTTGAAAAAAATAATCTTTTCACCAACATTAAATAATAAAAAAAATTTATTTTTTTCATTGATTAATTTTTATGTAAGTCTATAAATTAATTGTAACTTTATTTTTTTGATACATTCTTATAAAAAAATAATTTAAAGTATTTGCTTTTGAATTCTTAATTAATATTTCAGGTTTAAATTATTACAATTTTTTATTTAAGAATCCCTGAATAAAGAAAAATAAATCATGTTAAGTTTTTATTTAAAAAATCTTGATTGATATTTTAGTTAAAATTATTATATTTTTTATTTTAAAATCAATTCATAAAGAATAATGATTTATGTTTTTTTAAACAGAAAATTTATAAAAAATATTAAATAATTAATTAAATTAAAAATTATAATTAAAAAATTTTAAAATTTTAAAATGATTTTTTTTATTGGAACTGCAGTGTAGTGCTAGCAAACAACTCGTCTGTTTCTAGATAAAAATAAAATAAAACTGAAAAGAACAAAATTTAAAAGAAAAAAAATTGAAAAAGAGAGGTTTTTCATGAATCCACAGTTACACAAGCACAATTGCTAATTTGCTATAGCATTTAAAAACGACTAGTCTTACACAAATTCAGAGGGGGTATTTTGGTCCATGTCCATAAACCCCAAACCCATCAAGGTGAGCAAAGCAGGGTTTTTCGATTCGGCCCCCGTTGTTGATCAAGTGAAACCATTTTCTTTCAGTTTCTCAGCACCCAAACAGGGTCGGTCTAATTCGAAGCGATGCAATCTCTCTACGGCAGTTTAATACGAAGGCACAATCTAAACAGCTCTCATTTCAAATCCACTTTAGCTTATTTAGCTATTAGTGATAGTGCAAATCATGGATTAAGCCTTTTAAACAAAGATTTTTCGGCTCCAAATCAATTCACGGCTTCACAGATTCAACCTTTTCGCTCATTTCACCACTTCACTGTATGTTCTTCCTCCTTTTCCAATTCAATTTTTGTGTTATTACTTTTTTTTCGATTTACAGTTTATTTATTGAATTTAACAGCTTGTTCTTTCTTTCTTTCTTTCTTTTTTCCTTTGGCCTAAATCAGTTTTGAAGTTTGATTTATTAATTCGTGTGGCAGCCGAAGTATGGTTCTCAAACGGAGATGGTGAGGGTGTTGAATGGTAATGGGAGAAATTGTAGGATGAATTTGTCTGGTTGGGCAGCAAAAGGACCGAATTTCCCTAGTAGGAGCATGGCAACAGTGGGAAATTCAGCTGAATCCTCTTCGGAAGATTCATCAGCTCCTATTGCTGATGTTCTTCCGCGCATCAAATTCAAGAGACTCGATAAAACTGCCAGGCACATAATGCAGGTATGCACTGATACAGCATTTATAAGAGCTTTCCTATTGTTTTCCGCTGTATTGATTGATATTATTTTTGAACAGATTCTGGATAAGGAAGCAGTGGAGGAAGTAAGGTCACAGAGGGAGATACCTGATATAAGGCCTGGTTATACTGTACGACTCAAAGTGGTATGGAATGATTTGCTTAGGGATATTGTTATTTTTGCTGATTGCAAAGGAGGACTTGAATGGCATGATTTAATTTGTTCCATTTTGATCCTTTCTACGAATAGGAAGTACCGGAAAATAAGCGGCGAGTTTCAACTCTCGTAGGCACAGTTATAGCAAGACGTAATGCTGGTCTAAATACTACTTTTAGATTAAGGAGGATGGTTGCAGGTGTTGGTGTTGAATCTCTCTTCCCGCTGTAAGTGGTGGTGAAATATTTTTCCTTTCATTAATCAATCTCTGGCTCTGTTAGTGTTCTTTTCTTAACTTGCTGCCTCGTGCTGGAAGAAAGCTCTATTTGGATTTCCTTTTTTCTCTTCCTTGATGTTTGGGAGAATGCGTCTTACCCAATAAATTTTGTATCTGATTCTACGAGTAAAGGCCATCTTGTGTTCTGACATCATTTTATATATTGATGGACGTGATCGAGATATGTGTGAAGTTCATGAAATTTTACTTAAACTACAAATGGAGGACGATACTTGGTATTTATATGTATAGGAATCAGTTAAGAAAGAAGGGGTCGATCTTTTTGCAGGAAGTGTTTGCTTCATTATACTTTTTAAAGACATTCATTATGCATGAATCTTTGAACCCCTACTATATTGATGGTGTGAGGTGATCTATGGATCATAAATACTGCTGGTTGTATTAATCTGATTCTCTTTTACTTGCAGACGCATTGTGCATTTGAATATCAATGAAGTCAAATTAAGATCTAATGTTTCTCAAAAACATAATAAATTCGGCATTCCCTTAGATTTGTTGTAGTGAAGTTTTTTATTTTTTATTTTTTGGCCTTATTGTAGATTGATTATGGGAGAAAAGGAATCTCTAGTAACAATTTCCTTGTACATGATTTCACTTAACTGAATCAGAAGTTAAAACCACATATACCTTGTCTCATCGTTTACATAAACAGAGATGAGAAACCAGCATTTTTGTGTGGGATAGAAGATTAAAGCCTTATCCCTCTGTTTTAGCCAGTTCATGAACTTGGTAAAATAGGAGATGATGTTACCTTTATCTTCTCAAATTATGACAATTTCAGGGACCTTACCTGGTTGCAATGCTTAAATAATGAGTCATTCGATCCCCTTTTGTGGAGCCCTTTGGTATCTAAGCACATTTGGCAAGTTGTTGATGCCAAAGTATTACTTAAACACCCTCATCAGAGATATGCCATGTGTCTAGCTATAAGAAGTTTGAATGAAGGCCATCTTTTACGAAAATACTTTGACTGGATGATACTGATACTTACAGATCTTCCTGCTTTGTGTCTTTTATGTTTTTAGAAACTCTTTAATTCTTTATTTGTTGAATTCCTTGAGGTGAAAATATGAGATCCTGCTCACCTGCAAAACTTATACATCCTAAGCGAGCTATATGGAGTTCAATCCATATTATATATGTGCACTGTTAAATATAATTTATCTGCATATGTACTTTTGTGTGTTTGTATGTGTGCATGCCAGCATGTGTGTGTGAAGATGCTGGTAGGAGCATTTGTTTCAACCCAAACCTAGTACATTTATTAGAAGACACCCAATTAAATGTTCATATGCATCTAACTTATCATCCTATCAAGCTAAATAAAATTCGTATGCATGCATATTTATCTTCAAAAACAACTAAACAAAAAATCTCTGAGTTTAGACTCTTCGGTTCGCAATAGTGACACCATGCTTATGATCTTGTGTCTAATCTAACAATAACTTGTATTTCTGCATATAATCCGCTGTGAATTGACTACTCTTCTCCAAGATGAAATTCCAGATTTATGTTTGTTGTCTTGGTCTATTTTTTGTGTTTGGTCCCCATTTAAGTAAAGGTTTTGTAGTAGGGTTTTTTTTTTTTTTTTTTTCATCTAGAAAAGAGGTGATACTTATCATCTCTTTTTTATTGATGGGCCTCTCCATTTCTATATGATGACCGAATAAGTGGGTGTAAATGACAGGTACTCACCTAACATAAAGGCGATAGAAGTGCTCGATGACAAGAAGAAAGTGAGGAGGGCCAAGCTTTACTATTTAAGGGACAGGATGAAATCACTTAAGAAACGTTAGCAAGTTCTATATCTAGTGGGAGATCAATTATCCATTCCTTGGGAAAGTTGGTGGATTTGTTCTTTCTGGCCAGGAAAGTTTTGCTGACTGTTTGTATTCCAACTCCTTTCCATGTTATTATCAGGCTTGATTTAAGGGTTTTTTTTAAAAAAAAGACTGTGGGTGGGGAAGATATGAGGCCTCTGGTGGCATATTCAGCAAGCTGCAGAAGTTGTTAATTATAAAGTAGCAAAGAATCCTATGAGCATAAATTTTGGTTCTCAGTTTATCTAATGTTACCTGCATGATTTCCTTTTTTCCAATTATACCATATAATTTTGATCGTGCGACTTGCTAGGCACAAGGCCTATGATACAAGAATATTGTAGGGGCATGTTCACATATTTTGGGTTGGAACCAATCAAAATAGCATGTTCATATATTTTAAAGGATCTTTATTAAAATAATAACCACAGTATTGAATTTGCCGACCTATCCTCATATTGTGATTGGCTCATGCATATATATAAATTGATAGTTGCTTTCATTGATCACGGCACAAGTTAGCTCATTACATCTTTAACGTATTTTTCATGGCTTTGAAGTTTGCACAAGCAATCATAATATGGTAGTTGTGTATCCATTGATTTTCTTCACTGAAACAGGTTTGACGAACTTCGGGATGAAAATAATAATAATAATAATAAATTAAAGAAAAGGTTGGTCATTGGTCAAGTGTGATCAGATTATTATATGTCAACTCTATTTTCGGTCAAACTATATCCTTGGATACGATTTTGCATCTTGGGGTTGGTTGATAAACTGGAAGACCTGGAAGATGCTAAATTTTTTCTATTGCGTTTACGAATAGGAATGCTTAAAAGCTCTTTTAAAAAAGCTGCCCATTCTTCCTCTAGTAACGTCTGGTGTCTGTTAGGAATATTACTTTTTAGTGGATAACCCCTGAAGTAGGATTGTAACATCGTTTCACATTTAAATGGAGAGTAAAAAATACAACTCGAAACAACATAATTGACAGAAAAGGAACAAATTCTCAAAATTGAATTCGTGTCAAAAAAAAAAAAAAAAAAATTGATTTTCGTTTTCCAAAGGGAAATGCTCTTCGATTGGCTAGCTACTGCCCGGGATGGTTCTTATCCAGAAAATTACAGCATACATTAATTTCCTTTTAAAAAAAGAAAAAGAGGAGTTATGGTTTATAGAGGAAGTGAAATGAGAATATTTATTTATTTATTTATTTTGTCACAAGAATCTTGAAAGATAAAGCAGAAATTAGAGTCAGTGCAATGAATATTTGAAGTTAGATGAAGGGTCAAATTGCAATAGGAACTGCTGTCGTCTTCTTATCCTGCTAAATACGGTGTCCCTTGGAAGATAAGGTACATAATTTATGCTCAAGCAATGAGCAGTTACTTCATGATTAGTTCTAATAGTATTGGTTAGCAAGGATCGTTTTCGAAAACAAGCTAATATAAGAGAAACGATGGTCACCCTAAGTGAATTCAAACTTCAAATCAAATCGCGTGTGAATCTCATAATTCTGATCCAGATAGCTTCTTCCTCTTTTTTTCTTTTCTTTTCATCAGTCCTATCCAAAAAAAAAAAAAAAGGTATTTACTTATAACCTTTTTATTTTTTATTTTTTATTTTTGTTGTTGTTGTTGTTATTGTTGTACAAAGGGTGGAGGCATAGTTAAGGCCTCAAAACACTAACAAGCTGCAGCATCATTAGATAAAATGTTGACAATGTTCAGCGAGAGGATGATTCCAAACTTGAAAAGGAGTATCATCCGATGAGCCAATATAGGCGAGGTGGTCGGCACCTCTGTTGCCTTCCCTCGAGGTATGGTTAAAGGAAACACTCCATTGTCTTCGGCACGGTGCAATGGATGTCAATGATGATGTTTTAATATGGGTAGAATTGACGAACGCCATTACAAACAACATTGATTGCTTCTTGGGAATCATTCTCCATATTCACCTTCCGAAAGCCACATTCCCAAGCCAAAATTAGGCCACGGCAAATAGCTTCTAATTCTACTAACATAATAGATGATTCTCTAAGAAAACCGAGAAAACTACTCTCCACACACCATAATGATCTCGTATCGGACCTCGTTAGACATGCTTAAGTAATTACCATCGGTATTGCACTTGATCGTGCCATGAGAAAGAGCTATCCACGAAACCCAAAGCCGTGGGCTTGGCTGCTTGGACATTATGAGAAGTTTCGAAACTAACATACAATCATGGATCATAGATTGGAGTAGCCTTACTCGGTGTTTTTGAATGCAAGAACAGTTTCTTAGATGACTTCTTTGTTGCATGCACACCGGATGGTCTAGCATGTGAGGATAAATTTTCGACAATGGTGCCAAAGAGAAAAAAGGAAAAGAGTATTACCATACAACCAATCCTCCTAAGAAGCCAAAAAGAAATCGGTGGGGAGGCTTGATCCGAGGAGTTGCGGCCATATATTTTTGGCCAACACACGGTCATGAAGAACATGCAATATTGTTTCTTGGTCCATGCCACATCTTTTGCATAACGAGAGGCGGACAATGCCCCATGAGAAGGACATTAGTAGGAAGGCGTTGTCACTCCAATTGCCATAGAAAAATCGATGCTTTTGTGGCGGTTTCAACCTTCATATTCTCTTCCATTTGGTGTTCGGCTCCGTTAGGTGGGGGGCCTTGTAAGGAACTCATAGCTATACTTAGTTGTGTAGTATCATATTATGTTTTCACTCCGAGCCAATCTGTTAGTTGAGGAGAAGACTCGATAAGCAAGGTGGCTACTATCGATGCATGAACATAGGGTGGTAGGGCGGAACCCAAAATAGAAATGTCCCAATTTCCGACCTCCGATATGATAACTATAACTCGAAGCTCCCTCTCTTCAATGTTGATGTTTGTCACATGATGCTCGTAAGGGAACTTGTCCCAACCATCTATCAAACCATAGTGATACCTGTTGGCCATCACCAATACACCGAGTATAACCATCTTTCAAGTAAAAGAAGGACTTACAAATGGCTTTCTATGTCGGGGAGGTTGTCCGTGATGGTTGGTGCATCATAAAGGACTCATCGTATAAGTATTTACGGGACGGAATCGCGTCCGTAGTCCGTCCATCTTTTGGACCAAATCTTAACCCAATTTTTCCAACATAGTAATGTTATTCTCCCTAGCCCTCCGAAGACCAAGGCCACCTCTCTTTTTTGGGGTAGTAATAGTATGCAAATTGGCTAGATGTATGCCGGTACCATCCTCCAGAGACTCCCAAAGAAATCCCCTAGCCGGGTGATCAATCGGGTTGCAAATGGAAAAGGGCGACCAAACCGATTGCATGGTGTAAAGGGAAATGGTAGAGAAGGTTAATTGAATCAAGGAACAACATCCCGCCTTGCTCGAAACTTAGCTTTCCAACCCACTAGAAGATAATGAGTTTTCTCGGCGATATGCTTAAGGAAAGAACCAAACCTTGGCATAAAGAGGGGAACACCCATGTAGCTACCCAAGTCCGATGTAAAGGAGAAATTTAGACTTCTCCGTAATTCCTCTTAATGCTTACGAGATGTGTTTGAGAAGATGTAGGCATAAGTTTTTACTCATTAACCAGCATATTAAAGCTCACATAAAAATCCTTTATGGTGTTTAGAACCACTTTACGAGTGTTGGTGAAAAGCATGGGAAAAGAGTAGCA